TGGTGGTGGTGGTGGTGGTGATGGTGGTGGTGCTGCTGCTGCTGCTGCGGTGGTGGTGATGTTTTTTCAGAGAGGGAGCATTTAGAGACAAGTCGAAGGAGCGGATTGCACTGCGTCTAGACACGCATCGGATCGTGAAGAAGCGATCGTGAATGCATACAGACTACTCGTGCTTGATGATCAACAGGCTGAGGATAGGTTAGCGCTTCCATGTGAACTCAGCTTTGGCACACGACACGCCAACCATGCAACAACCAACATGTAGAGCCAACGCAGGAATCCGAAATGGCTTGAAGCGAATCACGTGAAAGTCAAAAAATCCCCCAACTCGCTCGCACGAAATCGAAGATCACGTGATGAGCTGTATGGCCATGCGTCTCGCTGAGAGATGCATCGCGCCTGATTGGGTACACATATCAGCTCGAGGCATGCAAACCGGCCGGCCCTCGACTTCTCCACGCTCGCCGGTCCGAACAAGGCCGCACCTCCCGCGGGAGGCCGGGATGGGCACGCAACGCGAGGGAGGAGCACGCAGCGCGCAGGCACTCACGACTTGGCACACGCGCTTACGCATCGGGCCACATATTCAACATCATCCACGTCGTACACCATATCCATTGCCCCCAGATCGACTTGAACGCCTTTCTTGACCCATCCCCACTTTCACGCCTACACCGTTCCTTGCGTCTCGCTCTGAACCTGGCTCTGCCCTGCTTTGCCCCCCTGCCGAATTTGTCGCATCTTCGCAGTAGGACTCGACCCTTTGCAGCTTTCTTATTTTCCTCGGGTCTCGTCCTAACCCTCGGTCTTGGCCTCGTAGCTCTACTTCCTCGCTACTCACCCAACGCTCGCACTGTTCTCCGCTCCTCTTACTCGATCAAAATGCCCGACGCAAAGGTTAGTCTCATCTGAATCGCATGTAGGGGCGCTTGGCACGAGGCATTAGAATGGTTCAGGCTGATTCTTGCTACGCCCAACTTTTTCCTGCGTATATGCAGACTTTTTCGATCGACGAGATCAAGAAGCACAATAGTGGTGAGTGGCGAGCCTATCGAAGCTCCAGCAAGTCTAGCTTGGCATGGTCTTCTTGGACGGATGGATGGATGGGTAGAGGTAATGACACTACTGGAGGATGTGTATACAGATGGGCCTTTGCCGCTCCAAGGAGCTTCCTTGTAGCGTGCCAAGGGCTAGGGAACATATAGGATAGGACACGAACGCTGGTAGTACATGTTTAAGGACAAGCGAATGTGGACGCGATGCGGTTATGCTCGCCCCGTTCGACCTCCCGTCCTTTTGTGCAACCCGCTGTTTGCACAGTCCATGGCTGTAGATGGTAGCATGGTACGCTTCACTTCCCTTTGCTCTAGGTCAAGCGGCACCCTGT